CCGTTCTGTTTTCCAACGGAAACCAGCTGAAAGTGGAACTGAAGAATCTGGAAGACTCCAACCGCAACTTAGAATGGATGTCTTCCAACGGTCTAAGACACTCGAAAAAGCTCCTCAGAACCTACGACCGAGAAAAATCAAAGGCTTTCCTTGATTTAAGTGAAAACAATCTTCGGATTGTCACGGGGTTTCTAACAGGACACTGTCTCCTCAACGAACACCTCAGTAGGCTGAAGCTGAGAAACAACGACGAATGCAGATTCTGTGGGGAATATGGGAAACACCAGAACACCTCATCACTGAGTGCGCCGAGACGACGACCATTCGTGCCATGAACTTTGGTACGGATGATGTCAAGGATGGAGAGCTGGCCTCTATGGAGCCGTCTCAGATACTGGCTTTTGTTAAAGCCTTGAGACTGTATGACTACATACAACAGCAAGTGGTAACTTTTTATTTGATGAATAGATATAGGGTATATTTGTTATAGAAAAAATATTTTATAGCTTTATAGAAAAAGTTGTTATAACTGTTACACTTATTTTTCGTTCTATTATGAGTTTTTAAACCAGTTGATTTTTTTTATTTAAATCAATGATTAATATAAAAATATCCGTTGATTTAAATCTTTGCACCCTAGTTATAATAGATTACAGAATAGCGAAAAAAATTGTTTATAATTGCGTTTTACGACTATGTGCTAATTTAAGGAACAAATAATAGCAAACAACGTAAAAAACAACAAATGTTATAGATACCTACAAGAAAAGTTAGACAACTGACAACTTTAATTACAAACTAGATGACATCCAAAAATTAAATAAAAAACAATTTACTTTTGAACTAAATTGACCGATATCAACTGTCACTGTCATATTATACAGCCTGTATATTTGAACTAAAAGTGGTTGCTTATGTGGTACGAGGAGGTAAATTTACCAGTTTGATGTCACTATTTGCGATACAGTTGGAGTTGGAACCTTTGGTGTTACAATAGTAAAACAAAACACTAATTCACCACAGTACACCAAAATAGTTTACATTTACCGCTGAACTTTTTATTAACCATGTTATCAGTTTTAATCATCTGCTGATAATGTTAACATAACGAAGCGTTCACTGTTAAAAGTAAAGTGTTTTGGGTGTATTGTGGTGAATTAGCGTTCTATTTTACTATGAGATGAGTAATATTATATTTAAGGTTGGGGCGTCTAGATTCTCATTGACCCTTGGGTAGTTCCGCCTCTGGTAACTGCCATTTTCAAAATTATAAATATAGGTAAAGGTCAATAGAAAAATAAGAAAATATAGTGTAAACCTGCCAAAAAAGAAACATGCGTAAACGAAGAGTAAACGCCAACATGAGGCGTTCGCGTCTTTAAATTGTTTTTCGCCATGGCGACGTTTCGCGTAGCTCACGCGAATCACCACGCAGGGAAGAGAGCTACTATTGTGTGCTTTTTAATAATAGTGCAAAGATACCCTTCTATTGGACGTCGTTTTGCGAAGGGTGCCTAGGAAACATAATATGGCATGTCTAAGGGGACTGTGGGAGGGTTTTACATTTTAAATTATCCTTGTTCTTACATTACAGAGACTTTGGCCGAAAAACAAGAGCAAATAAATGAATAACTATACGCCTAATTTCGTATAATGTTTTTATTAGACAACATTAAATAAGATTTCTTAAAGCTATAGCGATAATACTGATTGTTTCATTTGGTGTTTTTTTCAAATTTATTTAATAACAAAACCGTACAATCAAAAAAACTCTGTCAGATTTAGCTTGACAATGAAAATCATTTTATGAAAAAATGGAAAATGTATCTCTGCATCAATCGTTATTTTAAATATATGTAGATATTTGATGCATTTTTTATTCAAAAAGACTAGCCGATTTTTTGGAGGCAAAATAATTTTGTTATAGAATGTAGAATGAGTGGGAGGGGGTTAATTACTGTGGCCTACAGATCTATATGACCTAATGTAAATCGGTCTGATTAACTCAGAACTGAGCTACCATGTCTCATATTTTTTCTAACGTATCCAATATGGCCAATGCGAATTTCAAAAATTGCACGGATCTTAACCAAAACCGCTGATCATGAATCTGACGTCGGATTCGCAAAATTCAAAATGGCAGATCAAATATGGCCGACGTGAATTTCAAATAACACGGATCCGAACTACATCGGTATAATATGTGAGTTTTTCGGGTCACTGATCGCGAATCTGAAGTCAAATGGGTCATTGATCGCGAATCTGATGTCGGGTTGGCAAAATTCAAGATGGCGGATCCCATATTGCCGACCTCAAGAATAGCTTACGCTGTAGGCGCGGGATCGATTCGAGTCGGACCCACACCATTTTTAAGGTCGGCCATTCGCGATCCATGACCCATTTGACTTCAAATTTGCGATCAGCAACCCAAAAAACTCACATATACTGATTTTGTTCAGATCCGTGGTTATTTTAAAATTGGCCATTTTGAATTTTGCGAATCCGACGTCAGATTCATGATCAGCGACCTAAAAAACTCCCATATACAAACTTTTGTTCAAGTCTGGGCATTTTTTGAAATTCGCATCGGCCATATCGGAGCCGCCATTTTGAATTCTTCCAATCCGACATCAGATTCATAATCAGCGACCCAAAAAATATCCCTATAATGGTTTTAGTTAAGATCCGTGCGATTTTCGAAAATCATGACTTGTGGTAGAGAAAATACGAGACATGCTAGCTCAATTCTGATGGGTGTTTTGAGTTTATTAGGCCTATTTACATTAGGTTATAGTGTTATACATATAAGAAAACATTTTTTTTTATTTTTTCATACTACAGATTTTCCAAGTTTTTGACGTTATAGAAAAAAAATGCGATGTGATAGCCTAATTCTGATAGCGGACTCGTGCTCAGCATCGAAAAATACTATAGGATGTGATGGTCTGGTAAAAAGCATAGACCACTTTTTTGTGGCTGTGTAATCTTTACGCGCTTCTAAGAATGTATTTTCTGCTCATTGTATGTAATTAATAGCAACCTTATTAACTGTATATGCAGCAATGCACGAGTTTGCAACCTATTGAAACTGTTCCTTTTATGCATTTTTGCCTTTTCAGCTGTTTACTAACAACGGACGATATATCACATTTTTCTTTAGATTAACATACAGGATGTAAATGAATACGTGCGAGAAAATTTGGGAAATAGTTGTTGTTGGTCATGTTACACACGAACTACCTTTAGGTTTTAGATATTTCTTCTCGATTTAGCATTTCCTTACAAAGTTACCTGCTTATACCAGATGAACCAAAAGCATCGCTGAAATTTGTACTGAATATTATTATTTTCATTTCATTCATTTTGTACTTTACTCCTACGTGGAGCATAGGGCTTCAATAAATGCTCACCAGCAGTTTCGGTTGGTTGCAATTGATTTGGCATCTTGCCATGATCAATTTACAACCGATTTGACTGATTGGACGACCAGTTTTGCTACTGCGTTGTGGATTCCACTCAATAGCTCGGCCGATGTTGTTGCCCCTCCGCCTTAAAGCGTTGTCAGTCCACCTCCATTTCCTCAGATTGATCTCATTATACACCTCTGGTTGGTTAAGCTCCGCAAATCCCAATTTCTGATAGTATTTGGCCGGAATATTCCCACAATGTTTCTACATAAACGTTTTTGTGCGAGAAAATACTTTCAATATCAGATTTGAAAACTGATAGTCTATAAATAAAAGACTCAAAAATTTATTGATTTCAAAGTTGTTCGTGTCCCTGAATTCCGTACGACCAATTCCGTACTTCGTTGCCTCGATACTTTGTCAATTAAATAGTGGTATAATGCCTACATAGTTTTCGCGGAATCCCAACCGCGGTCTTCGGCCATATCATGGTCAATTGAATACGGACTTGACTAGTGTCTAAATCGACTCTTAAGATACCCATTCACATACAGTTCGCTGACAATCCAGAACTATCGATTTATATATCGTCAGTTAACATTTCTCCATACACTTACAGGCCGTCGACTGGTCTGAATCTGCAGATTACTTAAATCTTAAGGCCGACTGAAGTATATAGCAAAAAATTGACAGTTCTAAGTGTACGATGATCGTACGTTCCCATCTTTTGACAAGTTGGAAGTTTTGTACTATCAAGATGAGCAATTTAAGTAATAATACGACTTTTTTTAACCGATTTTATTGATTGGTATAGGCAATTGCCCTGTCTGCGGAAAATTAAAAGTAAAGTTTATTCAAACAGACAGAAAAAAACTAAAGCTTATGAAAAAATACTGGAATTTTATAAAATTGTTGGTACAAATACTATTGTAAATTAAAAATGTTGATTCTGTAAAGAAAAAAATAAACAAAGAAAGGGACTTAAAAAAATGCGAAAATCAAAGCATAACTTTGAAGTAAAGCTTTTTTGAATTTTTCTTTGATATTAAGGGCTTAAGCATTTTAACGAGATGTGCCGATTTAAAAACATTATTCGCTACAGAGACTGCGAAAAAGATCGATTGAAACTGACGATATGTTTGTGTGTGTGTTGTGAAAGCACAGTTTTTCTGCAGTGCAAAAACTGACAGTCCCAATACTGAAGATCGCATCGTCCTTCATAACTGCATTGTGTGTGGCCTGACAAAGTTTAGATCTTCAGTTCAGATCGTACAGTTCTAAAACTGCCGGCGAACTCTATGTGAATGGTCACCTTTACTCACGAGATATACGGTCTCATCCGGCCTCGAGCCGGCTTAAGTGAGCAGTGTGTGTCAGTTAATTTTACACCCTCGGTTGATGATCACCCGTCCATCCGCCCGCATCGTCTAACCTCGCTTAACTTCGGTGATGTATCGGGAACCTGTCTTTCACCGTAGCTGGGCCGTTGCCTAGATAAACAGAAACAGATAAAAATTAACAACTTATCTGTAACAACATATTTTGAGTGGGCGTTTTTGTGTCAGATATTTAACCATTCCTCTTTAATTTCAGAGCTGTAACACAACTAAATGGCATCGAAGTGGAGGGCAAGGCGCTCAAGGTGGATTTGGCCATCGAGAAGAGGTCCCGGCGGGGGCCCCGAGGTCCGGGAGCTCCCTTTGGGGGCCTTCCTGGACAGAGCCGACAGACCGACTTTCCTCTCAGGATACTTGTGCAAAGCGATATGGTGAGTACTCAAATTTAAAGGTTTCACGTCTCTCAATATGGGGATATTTCAGATAAGAAAACGAAAACATTAACAACATTACTCAATTCACCAGGAAATAATGTTTTAAATAGTATTTATGATCTCATGGTTTTGACATGATTCCACTGCTTAACAAACACAAATTTAACTTACAAAATTTTAAATCTACCTAAGTCTACTAACGATACGAAATTGACCGGTGTATACGTTATCAACTGATGCTCCAGACTTATAAGAGTTTTTTGTGTTTTGATTTTGTTTTCTGTATAATCTTCTCAATTTATTTTTTTGGGGGGAATTCTGACAAGACAAACTTGAGACAAATTGTCCACACCGCAAGGACAAAAGTACAATAAAGCCAAAACTTTAGTTGTTGCGAATGAGTTTTATTAACCATGTGTGATTTCACTGGATTCCTACTGTTGGCAGCACACGCCATCCACACTGCGCCGACAACTTGTAAAATATACTAACAAAACATAAACACTTTGATCTTTACCGACTCGAGACGGGACATTGAAAAGTCGTCGAATTTTGAATTAAAACAAAAATGAGGCAAAAATATCGCAGAAATGTATTGGATTTGTCGCAATTTTGTCGTAAAACATGACTGATTCTGTCTGGTCGTTGTTTTGTCTGCTTGGTCTGGACCCGGCATTAAATTTGCAAAATTAGAGGTTCGATATACAGGGTTGTTCACCACATACGACACGGAGTATTGTAGCTAAACGATTATATTTTTACAAATTCTAGGTTTTAGGTTCCTTGAAAGACTATTAGAGCTACAATTTAAAAATAATTTTACAAGATACAGAGTGTCTCAAATAAGTAAAAAATTATGTCATAAAAGCCACAACTTGTTAAAAAATAACTTCACCAAGCTAAAATCAATCATACCAAAAGACAAAAGAAGCAATGTAGTATATCAGATACCTTGTAAGGACTGTGATAAAATTTACATAGGGCAAACTGGTCAGTATCTAAAAAATAGGATCAATGGTCACAAGTATGATAAGAAAAATAAAACGGCGTTAACAAACCATGAAATTGAATGTCAACACACTTTTGACTTTAACGACACAAAAATTTTGGCAACCGAAAATCATACAAGAAAAAGAGAATAATATATATACAAAAAAATAACAATACCATAAACGCAAAATCCGATACGCAAAATTTGAGTAAAATATACTATAATTTGATTAATTAATTTATGTGAACCAAAATATTAACACATTTTTTACAACAAAAGAACTATCGATTGTTTCATATCCATATCAATAGAGGTTCACAGGGAGAAAAAAAAATGCACCAGTCGAGCAACCACAGAAATACATATATTGGTGTGTCAGTCTATGTGTTTGTTTAATATTGAATAGATGTATTAGTAGTTGCTGTGTTAAAATGTAAATATATAAGTTGTTTTTATGACGTCCAAGTTTATAATGTAAGTTTTAAATCTTTCTATTTTTTGATGTTTACTAGTGATGTATTTTACTTTGTAGAACATGTTTTAGATCGAAACGTAAACTTTGATAATGTGTTTCACTGCAGAATAAAAAAATAAACAAATTTATATACGGACCATAACCCCAAGAACCAATTTTCAAAAAATAAGTAAAAAATATTATAGTTGTATTTTTTTAAATGGAACACCCTGTATATTATTCTATTTTTAGATTCTACGATTGAAAAAAAGGTAAATTTGATTAAGGTTTACTGCAATACACCAAAACACTTTTCTTTTACACTGGACGCGCGTTTCGCTAACCATGTTAGCATCATCAGCAGATGATTATAAACAGTTTACAATCATATATAATATAAACAGTTTATAATCATCTGCTGATGACGCTAACATGGTTAGCGAAACGCGCGTCCAGTGTAAAAGTAAAAGTGTTTTGGTGTATTGTGGTGATTCAGTGTTTTTATTTTGCTGTGTAACACCAAAGGTTCCAACCCTCAACTGTAAGGTTTATTGCACTTAAGCCTTACCGTTTTTGAAATATTTTCAATTTTGTGAAATTGCAGTAAAAAATTTAATGCTTTATTTCTCCAAGCGTATCAAAGTTTTTAATACTAAATATTTACCGAAGATTATTTATTGATCAGATATTGGTATTGCAATAATAAAAATTATACTACCTTATACAGAGTGCCCACAAATTCATATTAAATAATTACTAGCTTTAAACGGCAATAACTTGTTTAATTTAAATGGAACACCCTGTATATATCACGTAAATCAGATGGACAATTTAATTGTCTATCAAATTGTGTTATACCATTTTTACCCATCTCTACATACATGCATACATACAGCCGTTACTCGCTGACGAGTATTCGACACACATAAAGAAGATGGTCACGCAAGGCGTTTTCTTTCATGAGTTTTTCTGTGACTGAAAAGCCCGATACGTGATGTTATCTGCCTACCGCACTCCGGACATTCAAAAATCTCATTGCTGTGTTGCCTCTTTATTTTTTGGTTGCCGCTGTTAACTGAGTTTACAACCCTTCTCTATTGAGTTCTATTGTGAGCTACTTTTCCCACTCATTCTGCATGTTAATTCCCTTTAAATTTTCGTGAAAAATGTCCTTGTACCTTTTGAGTTGTCCACCCGGCCTCCTCTTACCGTCTACAAGCTTACCGTAAAGCAGAGATTTTGGTATGCGGTTTTCTTGCATTCTGCATACGTGACCAGCCCATCTTAAGCGGGATTTTGTGACCATGACTTCAATACTCTCGCAGTTAGATTTTTCAAGGACCGATACGTTTGAGACATGATGGAACCACCGGACTCTTAAGAGTTGTCTAAGGTGTCTCTGTTGCAACTTGTTCAATGCGTTCATGTGTCGGCGGTAAGGCACCCAGGTTTCGCTCCCATATATCATGGTGGGGATTATAATTGCTCGGTATACTGCAAGTTTTGTTTTTGTACTCAAGTCATGATTGTAGAAAACCCTGTCTTTTAATTTCCAGAATGCTCTTGAGGCGCTACTAATCCTGTGCTGAATTTCAGAGTCAATATTGGCCCTTTCCGAAATCAAACTGCCAAAGTAATTGAATTCCGCCACATATTCCAATAGTACTTCTCCGATTTTTATAGCATTGTTGTGATCTTCCGGGGGAGTGCACATGGTTTTAGTTTTGCCGATGTTTAGCTTAAGGCCCAAAGCCTTGTATGCCCAGGTATATGTGTTCAACATTTCTTGTAATTGTTGTACCGTGTTTGCAACTAGAGCGCAGTCGTCAGCGTATTGAAGTTCTGTGATAAATTTTGTACCTGTTTTTGCCCTGAGTCTTTTTATGTTGAACAGACCGCAGTCATATCTGTATCTATTGCCCAATCCTCTCCCCTGCAGTTTGCTGTCCACTATAATGGACAGCGCTGCCATGAATATGTTGAATAGGAGAGGCGCTAAGACACATCCCTGCCTAACTCCTGTATTTGTTAGGAATGGGTCGCTCAGTGATCCATGATGTGACACTCTTGACTTGTTGTTGTTATGGAGGCTTTTACACACTGTAAGAAATTTGTTTGGTACTCTGAACTTTTTCATAATTGCCCAAAACGCATCTCTGTTCACAGAGTCGAAGGCTTTTGTTAGATCGATGAATGCAACATAAAGTTCAGACTGCTGCTCTTTTACTTTTTCCTGTAGGATGTTCCCATCTCTTCAAGTTTTCGTAGAAAATACATTTTCTTATAATTCTTATAATTTAGACCTTATTTATCAGTCTACCCATGCAATATTGAAATTTTAGATTTTTTTTAAGGCAACATACATATGTACAAAATGTACAGGTGGTAAATATAATATTACAAGCCCATTTATTTACAAAATAAAGCTGTTTAAATATTTATAAAAGAGTATACCAGTTAAATATACCACCATTATTTTCATCCAAAAATAGTTAATTACATACTTAATTGTTTTAATTAATAAATCATTCTAAATAAATGTAGATTTGACTCAGAAATCCATATAATAATAAGTTATGAAAATGAACGTCCCTGTTGTTATAAAATAAGAATTCGTCAAAAAATTAAATAAAATTTATAAGGTGTTACTTTTTACCACACTGTCTAATACACATACAAAATTCAGTTTTTTAGTATTTGGAGCAATTATTATTAATCAACGTAAACAGTCAATTAATGTAGTTTGCATACTGGGATTATATTAATTGGTCTCATTTAACAAAAATATAAAAAACTTTTTTTATTTTTTAATGAAATAAGCGAACTATATCGACAATATTAGTATCTGTACTCTTTGAAAATTTGTTACATCTTTAAAAAAAATCTAAAATCTCAGTATTCCATGGATATAGTGATAAATGAGGTCTAAATTATAAGTAAATGCATTTTCTACGAAAACTTCAAGAGATAGGTAAAAAATGGTATAACACAATTTGACAGACAATTAAATCTGATTCACGTAAAATATACAGGGTGTTCCATTTAAATTAAACAAGTTATTGCCGTTTAAAGCTAGTAATTATTTAAAATATATTTTTGGACACTCTGTATAAGGTAGTATAATTTTTATTATTGCAACACAATATCTGATTAATAAATAATCTTCGGTAAATATTTAGTATTAAAAACTTTGATACTCTTGGAGAAATGAGGCCTTACATTTTTTACTGGAATTTCACAAAATTGAAAATATTTCAAAAACGGTAAGATTTAAGTATGATAAACCTTAATCAAATTTATATTTATTTCAATCGTAGAATTTATAAATTGAGTAATATACAGGGCGTTCATTAAAAAAATACAACTATAATATTTTTTACTTATTTGAGACACTCTGTATCTTGTAAAATTATTTTTAAATTGTAGCTCTAATAGACCTTCAGCGAACCCAAAACTTACAATTTATAAAAATCTAATCGTTTAGCTACAATACTCCGTGTCGTATGTGGTGAACAACCCTGTATATTGTAAGTAAAATCACAAAAATGTTACGAGATTTAAAACTTCATGTAAATGGTAACGTCATTGGTACTAAAATAAATCAAAATGTTTCCTTAAATTAAATTGATCGCAAGCAAAAGAAAACTGTTATAATTTAATGCACTTAACTGAAACTTTAACCACTTTAACCAACTTTAACTAAAATAATGTATTAAGTTCGACTCCATCCTTAGGGTATCAAAGACAAATATACTTTGTATAAAATCGATCGACCATTAGCTCTCTACAAATCAGATAATTTGATAAGACCACTACAACATAGAATTTTTAGACGTTAATATCGTTACATAGTTTTCGCATTATTACAGATAAGATTTTGATATATACGATATAAAAACAACAGTCTATAGCTAATCGATGCAAATTTTTAGATTAATTGTCGATGAGTTTGCATCACTTTGGAACTTGCATATTAGTTTTTACAATTTTATATTTATTAGGATTCAAAACATCATTTTATATATGATCAAAACATCAACATATTTATTATGATTCATAACATATAACTTCATATCAAATAATACAAATTTTAGTGATCTTTATAAAGACGTTTTGAAGATATTACTATAATTTAAAATACTAAACAAAGAAAAAAGCTGAAATTAATTAAATTATTCATTCTCTAAGACGAAATCCAGCGAACTAAAATTAGCCACTCAAATATAAAAGACAAAAAAATAATTGTATAAGAAAAATCAAAAGTGTATAAAACATATTTTTAGTAATTAAATAGTTTAGTTTAAAAACTAAAGATTTAAGCAGCACGTATATTTCTGCTTAAATAGTAACACCAGAATTAGGTATTCTAATATGCAACTCAAACAACCAGGTACTAATTACCTAGTACTGGGAGAAGTCAACCTATCTAATGTACAGTCTAGGTTTAATGATACAATAAATGCATTCACCGTAGATAACAGCAGTTAAGTATTTACAATATGGTTACAATGCGCCTAAATAAGCTGGCTTAATATGCATTGGAATTAAAAAGAAAAGCTTTCGTCCAACGAAAAAAGAGGCGATTTTTGTCTTTTACGGTTGATCGCGAATAAAAAAATATTACAAATTTCTAATTTCTATTTTTTGAAGTTTAGATACAAATTTCTAAACTTCTTTGTTATGTAGTAATCCTTAATCGTGAATAATTAAAAATTGACAGATAAAAAAAATCAATTAAAAATAGCAAGAACGTTGCGGGAACGGATAGTTATGCCAACGCACTTTTTAGCCATTCACACAGTATTTTTAAATTGTTAACAGCTGGGAATTGTTACATTTATTTTACTGTAGAAATATGAGAGCTACTACAGGTAGTGATTTTTTGCGCATCTCTAGTTATTACAAAGAGTTATAGTACCCTTTTTACAGAAATTTTCAGGTTTTGTCGCAAGATGGTCGTATCTCGTTACTGTCGTTCACTGATCGACAGTATGGGAGCGTGCATTAATTACGTGAGGGAATTAACGGAGAGAGGGTATCAAACTGAGAATCTTACTATTTCATAAGGCAGAAACGGGTTGACTAAACGGCGTTAACAAACCATGAAACTACAACTTTTCATTTTTAAATAACACCCTAGGTTTTTTTTCTTTGTTCCGTAGAAAATGACATTCTGAATAGAATGACATATTATATATCAACTTTTGACATTTTCGCTTAAAACAAAATAATTGTATTTTAAATTTTAATCTGCCATGGATGTGTTAAAAACGCGAATTTTTAATGCCTTGGAAGCCTTGAAAGAATAGATTTGATTTTGATCGTCTAATGTTTTAGTGTCTTGTCCTGGCCGCGCCGGTTAAAAGATGCCTAAATCATATTTTTAATCATATCTCAATTTTTTCAAATGGAACGAGGGTGGCTCATTAGCATATTTGGAAAAAGAATTTGTTACGAATAATTTAGTACCACATACTTGGTATTTCGAGTCAAATTGTCGTTATGTATCGCATGCTGCAATTTCAAATAAGCCATATCCGAAAATGGCAATAGTTGACATATGATATGTCATTCTATTCAGAGTGTCATTTTCTATCGAATAAAGTAATAAAATACCGAGAGTGTCATTTAAAAATGAAAAGTTGTAGTCATTTCCTGTGAAACAGGAAGTGACCGAAAACAATTGAATACATCAACCAATCCTAATTTATGTCATATACTAACACACCAAATCTCGAATTTTTATCAAAGCAAACTCCCGACGTATTAAAGGGGGGCGGGGGGATAAAAAAAATATTCAAAAATTCCTCACTTAATTAATACACGCCTCCTAACAGTATTTTTTTACATATTCAAAAAATAAATTACTTCTTTCTCTTTCCTCTTTAAAGTTGAAAATATGTTGCTACTTTAACATTTACATGAATGCTTTATTTGTTATAGGTAGGAGCTATTATTGGACGACAGGGTTCTACAATCCGGCAGATAACACAGCAAACTAGAGCGCGAGTGGACGTTCATCGAAAAGACAACGTGGGGTCTCTGGAGAAAGCCATCACAATTTATGGCAACCCTGAAAATTGTACGAATGCTTGCAAAAAGATACTAGAAGTTATGCAACAGGAAGCTAACAATACGAATAAAGCGTATGTATATTTGAATATGAACATAATGATTTTTGAATCACATTTTAGGATTACAGATAGTGTAGTATGAATTGTTGACTTATATCTTTTTCAAAAATAACGTTGTCCAGGAAATTATCACATTTTATTTAACACTTGAAAATGTGTTAAATAAAATGGAATGTCACATTTTATTTATTTTTTAATATTATTCCCGATCAGTAAAATTAATTCCTGTCATCTCGTTGACGGGATAACGATTCACAGCGATATGTCAAATATGGTTAAAAATAAAGTTAAAAACCAAATGGAAATGTCAAAAATTATTTTATTACCTTTCTTCGGCTTTTTGATATTACTGATTCTGAACCATTCTAGAAATTTTGCATATATCAAATTATCACAATAATACAAAAGTTTTTCCTCTTGTAAAGACAATCCGGGGACATATGCACCATTTTATTAGCTTACTTTTATGAATTACTTTTTTATTCAGTCAATAATCTTTTCATATTTCTTTTAACATTGTTATACACTCAGATGCAAAAAAAAAGGCAACGGAGAAATTTTTGGTCAAATTTAAAGTGTATTTTTGTTATTTTTAGCCCTATTTTCATGAATTTTTTAGTAAGCTGTATATATAATTACATCAACTTGAATAATTTGTGAACTCATTTTTTTATAAACTTTAGTATTTGGCATATTATACAGGGTTAATCGAGGGGTTGTTTTTTACCCTAAATTTAAAACACCCTGTGCAATAATTTCGTGTGTAAATCTTCCTAAAATATAATTTTACGAACAGGACCATGTCTCCTGAACATTTTGTTTTTTGGATCATGTCAATACATGCCTTGGTTAATTTTTAAAGGCGAAATGAACTTGCCACCAACAATTTGCAATTTTTTCAGTTATATTTTTTTTAAAGTTATTTTGCAATATGACAAGGTGGCTTTGGTGATTATTGTGAACTATATACTACTATGAACTGTCCATTATGTTCATCGTTCGGGAAATGCTTGGCAGGAGGTTAAGAGGCCGCGAAGCTTCATTAAATGAACATCGCTTGGATTTTAAAGGAGAATGGGAAAGCATAACGCAATATGATATATGCAGCCTCAATGACAGTATGAACGGACATATACAGTTATAGCAGTCAAGGGAGGCAATACAAATTATTAGGGTATTTTTTACAATTTTTTTTCTGTTTGTATACTGTTTGTATTATGTATTACAGATGTTATCGTTATGAATGTTTATTAAAACTAGGACAAAATCGTTTTCGTTAACTTTTTTTTAATTTAATATAGAGTATCCATTGCAGCGTAATATGACGTTACGACAATTATCACCAAAACCATCTCACCATATTAAAAAATTACATCAAAAAGTAATTATAATTGAAAAAATTGCAAACTGATCGTGAATAGTTTATTTCGCTCTTAAAAATTAACCAAAGCATGTATTGACATGAATCAAAATTATATTTTAGGAAAAAATTTAAACACGAAATTATTGCATATTGTATAGGTTGTTTTAAAGGTAGGGTAAAAAACAACCCCCCGATAAACCCTGTATAATATGTCAAATACTAAAGTTTATAAAAAAAGTTAGTTTACGAGTTAAAGTTGATATAATTATATACAGTTTGCTAAAAAATTCAAGAAAATAGGGCTAAAAATAACAAAAATATAACACTTTAAATTTAACCAAAAATCTGAGTGTATATTGTCTTTATAGATCACTTCAATAAGATAGTTGTTTATAAACTTCTTTTTTTAATAAACGATTATTACTCATATGTGTATGAATCTTTTAGGGAAATATCACTGAAAATATTGGCGCACAACAATTTAATCGGACGAATAATTGGCAAAGGCGGAAACACAATCAAGCGTATTATGCAGGAAACTGAAACCAAGATTACTGTATCCAGCATAAATGATATCAGTTCGTTTAATCTAGAAAGAATTATAACGGTAAAAGGTTCAATTGATAACATGAGCAAGGCAGAAGCGCAGATCAGTGCGAAACTGAGACAGAGCTACGAGAACGATTTGCAAGCGATGGCCCCCCAGACAATGATGTTCCCAGGTAATATTTGTGAAAAGTCGATCTCCTATCGAGTTCAGTCGTTTATAAATGTAATTTGTTTAGAATGATGTCTCTTCACTTTCAGGTTTGCACCCTATGGCAATGATGGCTACTGCAGGAATCGGCTATGGCACTAGAGGTTTATACGCTAGTCAGGCACCATATCCAGGCATGTATCCAGCTGCTGGGCCTTCTCAAGCATCAGGAGACGTCCAAGAAGTAACTTATTTGTACATTCCAAACAATGCAGTTGGGGCTATTATTGGCACTAAGGTCAGTACCGTTTTTTTATGAAAAATATTCATAATATACAAAATAATTTATGTCAAAAAATAATTTATGTCAAACACTTTATAGTTAAAAGCCTGTTGAATATGTGCATTATATTGATAATAATTAGGAGAAATCGTTTATTAATATAATTAAATATAATAGAGATTTGTTTGTCTCCTTATGTCACCAGTTTTTGCAACTGCAAGGTCTACTCGTAAAAAATTTTAAGTTTAAATTATTACAAACACAATTCACTTAAACCAAACACTCGTAATACAAAACGGTGTGTCAAAATGAATCAAAATATCAGGAAATAAATAAATGTGGCGACCTGACTTTTTTACAGTAGAGCTACCACCTGAATCGCCAGCTAGAAATTTAAACTCCAGTTAGTTAGCCCGGCGCCGAAGATGTCCATGGTTGGCAACAATGAATTTATTAATGGCGCCCTCTGTCGATTATATTTCTACCACTTTCTTAATTGTTATTCCAATAAACATTTTCAAGACATCTTCAATCAAATTCCAACAAAAATAAAAATGTCCTAAAATCATCAGTAATTTTTTTTGCAAAAAAGTTTTCACTGGAACACTTATTTCTTCATAAACTTGGAAATTAATTTTTTAACTACCTGCTAATAACTTGTATTAATTTTTTGCGGTTATAATGAAGTGAAGCAATTTATTTTTAGAATTAATTTTCAAAGACGGCGGATTTACTTTTTTAATGTGTTTAATACATAGACTTAAAATAAAATATAGACTACACTATTTACATCTCAACGCGGACAAACAATATTTTTTGTACACATGTTTACTTCTGGGTACAGTCGACCGAGCCTTCCTCATCCAGCTTATGTTGTCACGTCTTTAATATTATCAATATTTTTTTTCTTGTTATACACATATATTGAGATATTAATACTACAGTTTAATAAAGTAGGTTTTAATATTCCATAGATGTATTAAATAGTCCTTATACTACTAAATTATAAGTCGGATACTGTTTAAAAAGGATAAGTTCTTGACAATATGACAACACCGATTAGAGGCGAGGGAGCCTATTCATTCATTTATTACCTTGTAGTACGCTTAGATTAAGAATGTAGTACGTGTCGCACGTGTGCGGTAAAGCTTTGTTGCCGCTATCTCCCCGGCTGTATTAACGCATTTTCTTAGCTTGTAGTCCTTAAGTGTTTATTCTATTGACTTTTTCTGTTCAAGAACTATAAAATATGGTTTGCCAGTGCCAAATTTGCAAGAAATTTGACTTAAATAATCCATTTAAGTCTTGAAACGACTTTTAACCGGTAGGCAACTCTCAATTTACCCATTGGGAGTCAGTGGCGTTGTTGTAGAAAGGCGCTTATTTAGATAATATTTTAGTAAAATGTAAAATCTGAATTTTTTCTCTTACATTACATTATTTACTTACTTACATTGTAACAAAATCATAATTATAACCCTGTTAATAATTAATAATGTTTTTTATTAAAAATATATTCCGGTTTATACTAAAATTATCTTCAGAATCTAAAATAACATACAAGAATTTTAAAATGATATTACATTATGAAACAATATTTTTTAATATACCGGGTCGTCTCAAAAGTGGCTCACCCCTATAACTTTTTTATTTTTTCAGATAAAAAAACCAGATTTGTATGTTAGTAGGTATATGGCATAAATTAGGATTTATTGACGTATTCAATTGTTTTTGGTCTCTTCCTGTTTCACCGAAATGATTACATCTTTTGATTTTTAAAGGCACCCTCGGTATATTGCTACTTTATTCGATAAAAAATGACACTCTGAATAGAATGACATATCATATGTCAACTTTTGACATTGTCGCTTAAAAACAAATCCTATTTTAAATTTCAATCCAGGGTGCCATGGTGTTAAAAACACTAAGTTTTAATCAAGGAGCCTTGGAAAAATAGTTTTGATCGTCTAATAGGTTTCGTGTCTTGTCTAGGCCGGTTAAGAGATGTACATATCGTATTTTTAATCATACATATGTCAATTTTTTCAAATGGAACAAGGGTGACTCGTTAGCATATTTGGAAAAAGCATTTTTTTTTATGAATATATTGATACCACACACTTGGTATTTCGAGTCAAATTATCGTTATGAACCGCGTGTTACAATTACAATTAAACCATATGCGAAAATGTCAAAAATTGACATATCATATGTCATTCTATTCAGAGTGTGATTTTCTATCGAATAAAGTAGAAATATACCAAGGGTGCCGTTTAAAAATTAAAAGTTATAGTCATTTCCGATGAAACAGGAAGTGACCAAAAACAATTGCATGCGTCAATCAATCCTAATTTATGTCATATACTAACATACTAAATCTTAGTTTTTATTTGAAAATATAAAAAAAATTATGGGGATGAGCCACTTTTGGGACGCACCCGGTATAATAAAGACAGTACCGAGTTAAATAAATGTAGTTTTCATTTTATCCACTTCCTATCACCTTCCTTGCTTTAATGGATTGGATTTATGTTTTCTCTAATTTACATAAGACATAACTTAACCAGAAAAAAAATTACAACAATCATATATTATTTTTTTCTCTCCCTGTCGCCGATTCAATTATATCTGTGGAATAGATCCTGTTTTGATTAATATTAGGGGTTGTAAATGTTTGACTAAAATTAATAATTAATTATTAATTTCAAAAATTACGTAATTTCGATTATAAAATTTCTTCTATAACGTGTATTTTATTATTTTTATCCTTTTTGGACTCTTTTCTCTCTTGTTTTTTCTAAACTTTTATTTAAAAAACCTGTCCTAAATCTTAATAAAATATAAAAAAGTTTAAATACGATATATTTTTAATTTAATTATAGCTTCATTAAAATAAAAAAAAATACCCGGCTATGATACGGAGAGTTCAGGTGTACTTGAGAAACGAAAGACAGTGTTGTGTTTCTCGGCAGAGTCGTCAGGGAACGACCGTTACGACAGAGACAACCTATCTATCGCTCGTGTCGCACTCGTTATAACCTAAAACAATAACACAACAATAACAAGACAGTGTCTGACCGCATGTTCCAGCTATTTATGAATGAGATGCTCAGTCTATATTTTATTTTAAGTCTATGGTTTAATAGATATTTGTGTATCTTATTAAGATTGTTTTTTTACAGGGATCCCACATTAGAAATATTATTCGTTTTTCTGGAGCTTCAGTTAAAATATCTCCAATAGATGAAACAAAACCTCAAGATGCCCCTAATGAGAGAAGAGTTAGTATTGTTGGATCACCTGAAGCCCAATGGAAGGTAAATAGTGCAAAAAAATATACAGGGTGGTCTGAACGGTATTCTGGAAACTTCAGCAGCATATTCTGCATATAAAAATAAGTAAAAAAGTTCATATAAATGTATGTCCTAAAATGATTCGTTTCGGATATACAGGGTGTAGAAGTTTCATTTTTATTTCGATTTTTTCCAAATAATTTCTGCAGGAACGTCAATTTATATTGAAAATTTGTGTCTGGGAGTTTTTTGACATGAGAAATTTGGATTTTGATGTCAATATGACTCCTACTAGTATAGGACGCCACCTACATATTTTTTAACGGGTTTGAAGAGTAATAACTTTTCGTCCGTACCTGTATAAAACTACTGAATAAAAAAAATATACATTTACGTTTTTTACGTAAAAAATGTCTCTTGGTAAAAATCGCTACGAGTAATGATTTTCGAGATATTTGGAATCGAAATTATCAATACCTGTCATCATTGACATAAATTAAATATAATGTCGACTAAATAGTTATTAAACTGAGATCATAAATTTGAAAGTTTCTGTGCCAAAAGTTTGACAGAAACTGTTTTATCATCATTTTTTTTGCTGAAAAATTTATGATTAATTTAAAAAAATAAAAATTTCTCAAATTTATTATTTCAGTGAAATAATTCATCTACTCAACGTGTTTATTTTTCGTCTATAATGACATGTATTGACTATTTCCATTCTAAATATCTTGAGAACGGTTACTCGTAGCGATTTCTACAAAGATATATTTTTTACGTAAAAAGCCACAGAGATGTATGTTTTTTCCCTCGGTAGTTTTATACAGGTACGGACAAAAAGTTATTACGCTTTAAAACAATTAAAACACATGTAGGTGACGCCCTCTACCAGTAGGAGTCATATTGACATCAAAATCAAATTTCTTATGTGAACAAACTCCCAGACACCAATTTTCATCCAAATATTGACGTTACTTCAGAAATTATTTATCTCTGAAACTAAGCATTTTAGAACATACATTTATACCAACTTTTTTACTTATTTTTATCTGCAGAATATGTTGCCGAATTTCCGGAATGCAGTTCGGACCACCCTGTATATTTTATAAAGATTAGGTTATCCTGTCTAAATCGGTTAATACTAATTACGAATTTATTAATTATAGGCTCAGTACTTGATTTTTGAAAAGATGAGGGAGGAAGGATTTGTAGCTGGTTCCGATGACGTTAGATTAACAGTTGAGCTCATGGTGCCGAGTTCTCAAGTGGGACGTATTATCGGTAAAGGGGGTCAGAATGTACGCGAGCTACAGCGTGTGACTGGTAGCGTGATCAAACTGCCAGAACAAGGTGCCTCGCCCCAAGGGGATGATACCACTGTACATATCATTGGTCCCTTCTTTAGTGTTCAAGTAAGTTTATTATTGTCTTGTTTAAATATAAACTGGATTTTTCAAATAGTAATATCCGTAATTGTTGAATCAGTCACATACGCATGAGTTTTACGGTTAAGCCCCGTCTACACATGACATAGCGCACGAAACATCCCCCTTTAGAACTCCATCTGTCATGTTAAGAAATGAAAGTAAATAAAGCGCCACCTCGTGATTGTTCGCATACTAAAAATTTCAATTAAGTCATATATACATGGTGAGTTTCCTACGATGTTCTCTATGGGTATCTCGGAAACTACTGGAGATAGAGAGTCGGTTTAATGGGGAAAGAATTGCAGTTTTGTGGGGTTATAAATATGCGCCTTTCAGATTTTTGAAAAAGTTCATGGCTTACTAGATATTTCGAAAAAAACAAATTTCGGCTATTTTAAAAATTGTCCCCAATTCCATTATAAGCCATTTTAGACAAAAAGTCTTCAGATAAAAATTGTAGACAATCACATCCTTAATGAGATTGTGTCCTCGGTTTTTTTCTAAAGCCTGTCATTTTTGACCTATGACACAAACATATGTTTTTTAAATGGAAACCATAGTTGGCGATGACTTCATAAAAAGCGCTTTTTTTAAGCTTTTCAGCGATCTAAGCTACAATATGTTTTCTTCGAAAAATTACTGAGTTATAGCCAATTCTTATCTTAAAAATGATAAGAATTGGCTATAACTCAGTAATTTTGCGAAGAAAACATATCGTAGCTTATATCACTGAAAAGCTTAAAAAATAGCGCTCACAATTTCACTTAGTTAGCCATGAAAGTTAATCGTCTTTGGACCCAGAAATGTCAAACTGTCACATCCAAACTTTGTAAATTAAAATAACTAAAAACTGTAAATATGAATTTTTCAATTGAAGAAAAGCGTGTAGGTTCAACTTTTCTTGACCATTTTCGAGGATACGTTGACCGGTGAATGTTACGTTTTTTAGAGAACGGTTTTCAAGACATGTTAGAAAAGTTAAATTTAGTTATAGCCAATTTTTATCTTTCTTGACTAATTTCACTTAGATTGCATGGTATTCTTATTCTATTATGATTTATTTATAAAAAGTCAGAATATATTATTAAATGGTTCTTTACAATTTACATTACACAAACTAAAGCTTGAAGTAAATAATATCATTACATACACTTTAAGTTATTTTAGAAAAGGTTGAAAAAATCCGCCATTGTTTTGAGTTCCATCTTTTTAAAGCTGATTTACTACCTATTCTCACAGAAGGAGCGGTCGACTTAATTAAACTTCTCTCGTACCGCCACTCGAGTGCCCCTCTTAATTCATAAGTTCTTTTCCAACCAAACCAAATCTAAAATGGATAGGTCAGGTGATCGAGGAGGCCCATGCAATTGGTCCACCTCTTGTTATTCCTGAGTTTGCATAATTATGATATAAATAATTTTTAACATTATGGGGGGGTCATAATGAAAGTCACGTTGGAACCACTCTATTGATGCGCTAGTATCCACAATCTACACGCTTTTCTTCATTTGAAAAATTCATATTTACAATTTTTGTTTATTTTAATTTACAAAGTTTGGATGTCACAGCTTCACATTTCTGAGAGTGACATAAAGAAAATGATGTTGGAACCATTGTATTGAAGCGCAAGTATCTAAATTTAACTTTTCGAAAAAACGTAAGTAACGTTCACCGGTCAACGTATCCTCGAAAATGTATGGAAAAGTTGAACCAATAATCCTACACGCTTTTCTTCATTTGAATAATTCATATTTACAAGTTTTGTTTATTTTAATTTATAAAGTTTGGATGTGACAGTTTCACATTTCTGAGAACAACGACTATTGATCTTGTTTCCATGGCTAACTAAGTGAAATTGTTTAAAAATAATAAGAATTGGCCATAACTCACTAATTTTTCGAAAAAAACATATAGCTTATATCACTAAAAAGCTTAAAAATGGCGCTTTTTATGAAGCTATGGCCAACTATGGTTTCCATTTAAAAAAATATGTTTGTGTCATAAATGACAGGCTTTAGAAAAAATCGGAGAACACAAACTCATTAGGGATGTGATTATCTACAACTTTTATTTGAAAACTTTTTGTCTAAAATAGCTTATAATGGAATTAGGGACAATTTTTAAAATAGCCGAAATTTGTTTTTTTTTTCAAAATATCTAGTAAGCCATGAACTTTTTCAAAAATCTAAAAGGCGCATATTTATGACCCTACAAAACTGCAATTCTTTCCCCATTTAACCGACTCTCAATCTCCAGTAGTTTCCGAGATACCCATAGAGAACATTGTAGAAAACTCGTATTCTTTACATTTAAAACTAGTATTTTTTACATTTAAACTTCTAAAAATAACATATTACATTTAAATGGAATATATTACATAAAAATTATGTCAATTACAGGCTACAGGCTATGTCAATTACAGGTTTTCTAACATTTTTAAATAACACAAATTTTAAAATTTCAATATACCGATCTGGACATCGAAAGTGCGTGGTCTGGATTTTAACGTCTAGGACAATAAAATGTAAAAAAAAGACAGCTTAAATGAAAAATCAAATGTTTTAAAAAGTGATAAAAGTTAGATTGATACATTTCTTCTATGCGGTATTGCTGAATTTTAGCATCAAAATTTCAAACCGCACAGTATAAAGCGTTTAAAATAAAAAAAAAAACTACTTTTAGGCCCAGTTTCTCCAATATGGCGGCGCGAGCGGCAAATATACGAAACGGAAAAGTTGAAATTTGGAAAGAGCACATCAAATTTATAAAATTATCCATTTTCAAAACACGCGGAAAACTTTCAAGATAACTCCCTTTTTTAGAACCAAATGACTATTGGTCATTGGGCCTGATGAATAAAGAGAACCAATTGCTTTTTCTATAGAACTATCTTTGTTGGTTGTTTACAAATTGTATAAGTCTATTTCAAAAAATTTAGGTAAAAGCATTTCCTTAACTTTTATTCATAAGACCCATTGTACTGTTGATCATTTTTTAAAATCCCGGAAGTTGATTATAGACAAAAATATACCTACTAACCAGACCTTAAAAAAAATTAAATTGAATGAAGTCGATAGTAGTAATGTTTATTAATTGACATTTTTGATTTTGTTACAGTCAGCACAACGACGAATCCGCGCCATGGTACTGCAAGCTTTAATGCCTCCAGCTGGAAGACCGCGCCAGTCAAAGCAGCCGAAGGACTCAAGCCAGCCGCCATCCGAGGGAGGGGGTCCTTCATCTGAGCAACAGTAGATACCAGCTATCTACATTCACTGCCTTGTGCATAAGTTATGCATACCTTATTGTACACAAGCATCTCGAGGCCTTCCACTTTCGCAATATATCCGGTTCCAGGCCCGGCCTGATTTGTTTTCCATAATATTCAGAGTTCGCTGTTGTTTTTATAATTATCGTTTCCGTTGCCTTAAGATAAGTATTACAGATGTGCTTCATTATTATATTTATAGTTCATCTAAAAGTGGAACGTGTAGAGAATCGTCTGGAATATGGTATGATAACTCCGTGCCCACATTACAATCTACCTCAAGAAATCAAAATATATTAGATTTATAGCCTTAGAAATTTCCGTTATTTACACCGCAACCAACCATAGCCATTTCAGATTTTTTTCTTTAATGAACCATATATAAAATATACCTGATCACAAGGACTACCAAAGAAGCAACCGACCTACAACACATAACTCAGGCTACAAAATTGCAGGAAAAGCCTGTTATCCAACTGAATTTTGACGCAAACCTAACAAGCTTTGGATTTTCCGATTCGACAAAAATGCAACAAGGATGTCACCATACAAATAAAATTCTGGACGAGCAGCACCAAATCGAAAGGCGCTAAAGTTCCTTTGAAACTGTTAGTGTGGGATGCAGGCTGAAATAGACTTTAACTGACGTCGGATGTGTCGGTTGCCCCGCATCCCTCGCTCACGCTTAACGTGGCTGTTATTTTTCTTTTTTTAAATGTGTGAATGTGAAAAAGTTTGAAATTTACCGTCTGGTTAAAAGTTAGTGTTCGTGATAGATTATTGTGCGTTCGTCGGGACATTTAGCGATGTGGCACCTCAAAATAAGCCAAAGGGGTATACGCTTAATAAGTCTAAGAGGTGTGAACGTCCAATAATGTTATCGGGATACGTTAGTTAAAAGGACTCTAAAACGGCGTGAATGAAACAGACTTTTTTTAACTTTAATTATATTGTTAGGTGATTGTTAAATCGATATTGTGGATTGGGCGAGGCCAGGGCGACTTCCTATATTATTATTTGTTAGGAGATGGAGTCGCTCTGGGCTGGCCGTCGATATTGTTGCAGAAATGATTTACCAGATAAGACAGTAAGGCAGTTTACCTTACTCGGCGACGTGGTGCCTTGTGTCAAGGCCAGTCGCGACCCTAATAGTACAAACTCAAGAGGGATAGTCGGTCCACGTGGGACCTCTCCTCGGCCCATAGCGAGGGCCTGGCTAATTAAAAATATAATATTTTTGATAAAAAAATTGTTTGTTGGGGAGGATATTTTTTGTTAGGAAAAAATTATAAATATAGCGGGGTCGCTATTTTTAAAATTGTGAAAAAAATGGATATATTAAAAGTATTTATTAAATTTTTATGTATAAAAGAAATTTTAAATTATTTGTACAGATTTATAAACTGTGCCAAAGTGCAAGAATGTTACCAGAGAGCTGCTTTTATTTATGAAAAAAAATTATATATATAAGATATATTCGAGGGTACATGTATTTATTCCTGCAGTAAAGATATTTCGAGCACTTTCCCAGTTATATTCGGGATTTTTAATAACAATTCGGGCATTTAATTAAAATATCACAACAAAATTCAATAATCTAAATGGTTTTTAGAACAAATTAATAATTCAATCCATTTATTTCACACACACCATCCTAAACATCAACCGATCGACAAAAATACGACTTTCTGGCCATTGGAATTTTTCAAATTAAGGAAACACAGTTTTCCTCATTCCAGACCCCCCAAGAGACCCAAATTCAGCCTAATATGGGTAGTTTCCACAGCGTAGCCACCCAACTTGATTCAAGTATTGTTCTAGTTCTTGCTGTTTAACTCAGCAAATCTGTATTCATGGAAAGCTTACTATCCATTTTTTGACTTTCAAGAATGGTAGAATAGTTTTTGCTTGCTTAATATTGAATCAGTTTACACCATCACACATTCTGCCAACATTGGAGATGAGGAAATATTACCTAATCGCAGATTTTTACAATTCAACTAGTTACTACATTGATTGATGCTATTACAGAAAAGCGGCAATGACCACACAACATTAACCTACAAATCATCTTACTGATTTATGAATGGAATTAAACACTGCAATATTTATTTTACAGCATACACTAATTAATATTTTATCGAGTAAAATATTACAAAGAATCACAAAAATATAAAATTTTGAGACAGTGCATATTGAGATGACATGAAAATATCAACATGAAATATTGAAGTTGTTTTACCATTTCAATCGGTTTTCAAATTACAGTTTAATATGGGTATCAAAATAGTGCCTAATTAAAAGTTATTGATGGTTAATTTTGACCACAATATTCATAGATTTGATCAATTGTTTAAGTCACCCTGATTAACAGAAATAGGTTAAAAATAAAGGGATCAAATTTATCCATCAAAAGATATGATTGTCTAGGTGAAAAACACATCAACATTCAACACATTTAATAGTGATATATTGTTTTGTATCACTTTCATGTTTGTACACTTCTGTACAACTGCATACATAGTACAATTTTTTTTCAAAACGTTGTAATATTTAACAATGATTTTATTACTTGTAAAAGCTATTATTTATAAAAAGTTTCAATGTCAAAAAAATAAAATAGTATAGCTTTTTCTTACTTTGTTTTCTGAATCAGTTTCAATTTCTTTTTGTTATGACTGTTTTTTCCTAATATAATTAGTTTTATTTCCATATGGAACTAATCAATTTAAGGAAACAACAGAAATTATACTTTAAAAACCAACCATTTAATCGTATGTATAGGACGTATAATAGATATTTCCTCAATAGAAGTAAAATTATAGTTTTTGTCGTTTTTTATTTAATTTTCAAGTATCTTTGATTCACTATAGTTGTAGCACATATTAATTTACTATACGCTGGAAGGAGACTGATTGTGCAAACCAGCCCGCCGTAGATTTAGTAATCCTTAGACCGGATAGTTACAAAATGTATAAAGTTGTGTCCACATTAGTGTAAAACAGATAAAATCAATTGAATCGCCATTTATTTATCTGCTTTATCTTTTATACTTAAACCTCCTATTTTTAGGTAACATTTTGAAGATTTTTGGAAAAATATCGTCTGCAACTTAATTGGTGGTATATTTATTATTGTAGCGATACGAATATGAAAAATCTATTTTATTATATACTATTTGAATAATTATCTTCTATAATTTATTCCATTTAATAATTCAATTTAACATATTTAAACCATTTCTATTCTCTCAGCTTAATGATTTGCTATTTCAGAATTATATGGTTAGATCGAATAAAAATAAAAATTTTGCAGTTACAAGATTTTTAGTTGCTGACGATATTTAATTCTCTCTAATTTTATTTAAAATTATATATTTTAAAAATCACAATTTTTGTGTCTTGAACCCTTTTATCTTCATCAATGAATGAACCTCTTTTATCTTCATCAATGCTTCCGATAAGGTTTTACCCTGTTTATTATTAATGGTGGAGACAATTTAACATTGAAAGTAATTTAAACTTTACCAGGGAAGTATTGTAAACTATCCATCGGTCTAAGTAGTAAACTACCTCAGTAATTATATATTTCTATAAAACATAATTTTGTTGTTCATGTTTTACTTGGGTATCAATATATAAGTTAATATTTTTTCTGGTGAATACTATTTGTATTATATTTACCGTTTATACTAGTAATAGTCGGTATATTTTGATGTAGTGTGCCATTGTTTTTATTGGAACAAAAACATTGTTGTAATTATATTTTCAGTTTTATCAAGATTTAAGATGTAATTTGATAATTGTTCTTATGATAATATGCCTAAGAGTTATTTGCATACAGTCCTCAATGTGTCACATTTAATTTTGCTTGATAAAACTGTTATGTTCTTAATATACTATATGTTAAATGTTCATAGAAAATTTCGCTTTGTACACTGGGAATTGTTATTTACTTAATGGTGCTTTTTGGTAACATGATTTGTTGCCATTCAATTCTTCAGTGAAACTTGCGAACTTATTAAGATACCGAACATCAACATCTACCATGCCTATGCAATAGATATTTCTCAGGTATAACTCAGGTTGTTTTATAATATACAGATGAATATATCAATTATTATTAATTCCTGACAATACAATACGTCAGATTCAAATTGTTACACAATTCTTATTTTTCATACCAGAATATGTTTGTGTAGATGATGATGAAACACATACAGTTAAATAGTAATTAATATTTTATATATAATTAATTTCTAATATTTTTAGTGTTAATAATGGCATACAATTCAGGCTATTTTTGTTCCAACTCCATTCACTTAAGTTAAAATAAATAGTGTTCCCTTAACTAACGTTTTATTTCCCCCATATTCCAAAAATCCTATTACCAGCTTTGTCATTCCAAATCTGTGTAATTATGACATATAAGGGTGCAGCCACACTATCCTAAAAACGGCGTATCGGCGTAACGGCGTAACGACCTTGAATCGATTTCCAGTAATTCTATTGGCTGAAATTTTTGACAGATGAATTTGACAGATAAAATTTCTGACAGATGAATGTTTCAGCCAACAGAATTACTGGAAATCTATTCAAGGTCATTACGCCGTTACGCCGATACGCCGTTTTTAGGATAGTGTGACTGCACCCTCAGACAAAGAGAAATAAATATACTTAACTTACGTTCATATACATCTTGGTATACCATGGTGAAAACTACCGTGGTGCCTCTACATAAATTTGAGTATAAATATTTTCCGTCCATCGACGGCCGCTTTAAGTGTAACTTTTTTACGCGCGATGGGAACAATAATTCAAATTGTTAGGTTCAAAATTTTTCTCTTAAATAAATTTAAGCGTTAACATTATTAGGCATTTGCATAAAAGTGTATATTTTGGGTGGTATTCCACAAAATTTGCTGGCTATTGACGAAACAGAAAATGTAGAGATTACAGAAATAAATTGAAAATAGCATTTATATTAAAACAGCATTACGTATATGTCACTTTTTCAAACATGTCCTTCAAATCCTCCAATTTAATAGCTGTTAGTAAGAAGTTTCACTTCAAATATGCGCACATAGTGTACACAATTTTTTTTGTAAAACGGCCCCGTATTTACTACATTTTTTGTCTCTTGTAAAAAACGCCACCGCGCATACTTTTCGAGCAAAAAAAAATATTTTCCCGAATCTGACTTGACCAAAAAATATTTCTTGTCACATCAAGCTATGTAGGCGCATACAATCTATTATGCATTAGTTCTATGGTGGCGTATACTTTTCGAACATTGAGCAAAAAAAATATTTTTCCGAATCTGACTTCCAAAAAATATTTTTTGTCACATCAAGCCTATGTAGGCACATACAATCTATTATGCACTAGTTCTATGGTGGCGTATACTTCTCGAACATTCGAGCAAAAAAATATCTTTCCAAATCTGACTTCCAAAAAATATTTTCTTGTCACATCAAGCTATGTAGGCGCATACAATCTATTATGCACTAGTTCTATGGTGGCGTATACTTCTCGAACATTCGAGCAAAAAAATATTTTTCCGAATCTGACTTCCAAAAAATATTTCTTGTCACATCAAGCCTATGTAGGCGTATACAATCTATTATGCACTAGTTCTATGGTGGCGTATACTTTTCGAACATTCGAGCAAAAAATATTTTTTTCCGAATCTGACTTCCAAAAAATATTTCTTGTCACATCAAGCCTATGTAGGCGTATACAATCTATTATGCACTAGTTCTATGGTGGCGTATACTTTTCGAACATTCGAGCAAAAAATATTTTTCCCGAATCTCACTTCCAAAAAATATTGTCACATCAAGCCTATGAAGGCGTATACAATGTATTATGCATTAGTTCTATGATGGCGTATACTTTTCGAACATTCGAGCAAAAAATATTTTTTCCGAATCTGACTTCCAAAAAATATTTCTTGTCACATCATGCTATGTAGGCGCATACAATCTATTGTGCACTAGTTCTATGGTAGCGTATACTTTTCGAACATTCGAGCAAAAAATATTTTTTCCGGATCTGACTTCCAAAAAATATTTCTTGTCACATCAAGCTTATGTAGGCGTATACAATCTATTATGCACTAGTTCTATGGTGGCGTATACTTTTCGAACATTCGAGCAAAAAATATTTTTTCCGAATCTCACATCCAAAAAATATTGTCACATCAAGCCTATGTAGGCGTATACAATCTATTATGCACTAGTTCTATGGTGGCGTATACTTTTCGAACATTCGAGCAAAAAATATTTTTCCCGAATCTCACTTCCAAAAAATATTGTCACATCAAGCCTATGAAGGCGTATACAATCTATTATGCATTAGTTCTATGATGGCGTATACTTTTCGAACATTCGAGCAAAAAATATTTTTTCCGAATCTGACTTCCAAAAAATATTTCTTGTCACATCATGCTATGTAGGCGCATACAATCTATTATGCACTAGTTCTATGGTGGCGTATACTTTTCGAACATTCGAGCAAAAAATATTTTTTCCGAATCTGACTTCCAAAAAATATTTCTTGTCACATCAAGCCTATGTAGGCGTATACAATCTATTATGCACTAGTTCTATGGTGGCGTATACTTTTCGAACATTCGAGCAAAAAATATTTTTTCCGAATCTGGCTTCCAAAAAATATTTCTTGTCACATCATGCTATGTAGGCGCATACAATCTATTATGCACTAGTTCTATGGTGGCGTATACTTTTCTAACATTCGAGCAAAATATATTTTTTCCGAATCTGACTTCCAAAAAATATTTCTTGTCACGTCAAGCTATGTAGGCGCATACAATCTATTATGCACTAGTTCCATGGTGGCGTATACTTCTCGAACATTCCAGCAAAAAAATATTTTTTCCGAATCTGACTTCCAAAATATATTTCTTGTCACATCAAGCCTATGTAGGCGTATACAATCTATTATGCACTAGTTCTATGGTGGCGTATACTTCTCGAACATTCGAGCAAAAAAATATTTTTCCGAATCTGACTTCCACAAAATATTTCTTGTCACATCAAGCTATGTAGGCGCATACAATCTATTATGCACTAGTTCTATGGTGGCGTATACTTTTCGAACATTCGAGCAAAAAATATTTTTTCCGAATCTGACTTCCAAAAAATATTTCTTATCACATCAAGCTATGTAGGCGCATACAATCTATTATGCACTAGTTCTATGGTGGCGTATACTTTTCGAACATTCGAGCATAAAATATTTTTCCGAATCTGACTTCCAAAAAATATTTCTTGTCACATCAAGCTATGTAGGCGCATACAATCTATTATGCACTAGTTCTATGGTGGCGTATACTTCTCGAACATTCGAGCAAAAAAATATGTTCCCAAATCTGACTTCCAAAAAATATTTTCTTGTCACATCAAGCTATGTAGGCGCATACAATCTATTATGCACTAGTTCTATGGTGGCGTATACTTTTCGAACATTCGAGCAAAAAAATATTTTTCCGAATCTGACTTACAAAAAATATTTCTTGTCACATCAAGCTATGTAGGCGCATACAATCTATTATGCACTAGTTCTATGGTGGCGTATACTTTTCGAGCATTCGAGGAAAAAAAATATTTTTCCGAATCTGACTTCCAAAAAATATTTCTTGTCACATCAAGCTATGTAGGCGCATACAATCTATTATGCACTAGTTCTATGGTGGCGTATACTTCTCGAACATTCGAGCAAAAAAATATCTTTCCAAATCTGACTTCCAAAAAATATTTTCTTGTCACATCAAGTTATGTAGGCGCATACAATCTATTATGCACTAGTTCTATGGTGGCGTATACTTTTCGAACATTCGAGCAAAAAAATATTTTTCCGAATCTGACTTACAAAAAATATTTCTTGTCACATCAAGCTATGTAGGCGCATACAATCTATTATGCACTAGTTCTATGGTGGCGTATACTTTTCGAGCATTCGAGGAAAAAAAATATTTTTCCGAATCTGACTTCCAAAAAATATTTCTTGTCACATCAAGCTATGTAGGCGCATACAATCTATTATGCACTTGTTCTATGGTCGCATATACTTTTCGAACATTCGAGCAAAAAAATATTTTTCCGAATCTGACTTCCAAAAAATATTTCTTGTCACATCAACCTATGTAGCATACAATCTATTATGCATTAGTTCTATGGTGGCGTATACTTTTCGAGCATTCGAGCAAAAAAATATTTTTCCGAATCTAACTTTCAAAAAATATTTCTTGTCACATCAAGCTATGTAGGCGCATACAATCTATTATGCATTAGTTCTATGGGTGCGTATACTTTTCGAGCATTCGAGCAAAAAAAAATATTTTTCCGAATCTGACTTCCAAAAAATATTTCATGTCACATCAAGCTATGTAGGCGCATACAATCTATTATGCATTAGTTCTATGGTGGCGTATACTTTTCGAGCATTCGAGCAAAAAAAATATTTTTCCGAATCTGACTTCCAAAAAATATTTCTTGTCACATCAAGCTATGTAGGCACATACAATCTATTATGCACTAGTTCTATGGTGGCGTATACTTTTCGAGCAAAAAAAAATATTTTTCCGAATTTGACTTCCAAAAAATATTTCTTGTCACATCAAGGTATATAGGTGCATACAATCTATTATGCACTAGTTTTGTGCACAATAATCTAGTTGGCGAAAATATGGAATTTTCCAAATAATCACAAAAATGATATTTGACAATAAGCTTCATAAATTTTAATTTGATTGATGCTCTCTAACGGATACACGAAGCACGTTTGTATAGAGGTAACTCATGTCCAATGAACTTTTAAAAAAATACCTAGTTCTTCTATTTCTGCGGAATATTGGAACTCCCTGTAAGTATATATTTTAGGTCTGCTTTGGAAAACAATTCTCCATTTTTTTCTTAAAAACTGTGATAAAAAATGTAGTAGATAGGTACTAGAAGAACTGTTTTACGCCAAAAAATCGGACGTCGCTTGAGTTTGGTTTGGTTTGGAAAATATTTACGCTACAATTTATGTAGGGGTGGGGGTAGTTTTCACTCTTCCCATACTTTTTCTCGATTTCAGTGAAAGTCAAATGTTAAAACGCCTAGCAAAACATAGGTATCCCAAATCTCATTCAAATCGTGATATCGGTTCTTAAAATTTCTTAAAAAATGTGTTTATTTTTTTAAGGTTTGATGCCCTCTAAACCATAAGCGAAGCACTTATAGTGGTAAATTGAGTTCAAAGAACTTATTTTGATTTCAAAAATACGTAGTAGTTCTATGTCTACGGAATATTGGGACACCCTATATAGTATAATATAAGCTATTTTAAAGGTATTTGGGTTTTAATTTTTAACTCTATGGGTTACATTATAGCCAGTTGATAGACGCGCACAACGACTATAGAAATATACAGAGCTGCGCAACGATATAGAAATATACAGAGTTGCCATGTTATATATCCAAAATTTTTTTCAAAAAATTCTAAATTTTCAATTTTTTTTCTTCGCGTAAAAAACTCATAGATGTGTTTCTGTGGTCGAAAAATACTACCCCTAAAAATATTTGCACTTATTTGACTTACCCTGTATAAAATAAGGTAGGCGCTTATAAAATCAAAAACTTATTATAACATTCGTATATAAAAAGATCTTAGAATTATATGCTGTTTTCTTTGCTATCTCATGTTAGCTCATCTCTATAAGTATTTTTGGTGTTTGCAAACTGACCCATATTTCGCATGTTTGTTTCAAAAAGCTTTTATACCTATCTCCCTAATCTGGCCGGTAATTTTTAATACAGCAATAATGCTTTTATAACAACCTCAATTTTTCAATTGTGGACAATTGGCGCTATCATACTATACGTAATGGACTAGCTATTTATATTCTTTAACATTTTATTGTATTTAGGCATCTGCTTCTTTAAGCATCTTTAAATAGTATCAAAAATAAAATGGATACAGAAGACGATGTTAGAAGATATTTCGACGTATTCGATTATATAGTTTTTGCAATAATGTTGGTAGTTTCAGCGTTAATTGGTGTATATTTTGCCTTTTTCGCGAAAGTTAAACAAAATACGACATCAGAGTATTTAATGGGCGGAAAAACTATGGGTATATTTCCTATTTCGATGTCACTAATAGCTAGGTAAGTTTTAGTTGATAATACTATTTACTTCACATACATTATTTTTACGCAATGAATATAAATTAATCTAATAGCCTTAAAAATATAATAAACCCTTTTTGGACTTTGTATTTATCGATGCTTCAATAAAGCTACTATTGCTTGCAGTGGCGTAACTATCGATGTGCCGTGTGTGCGAAGCGCATTTCCATATCTGATCACATGCTATCGCGTATCAAGCAGAATCCTTCTGTTTCTGATGAGGATATATATGAAATGGGCCAGGTTCTATACCTTAAATACCACGATGATATTGCCTATACGATTTCTTCTCAATTACTCTCCTTCCGAAATAATTTATATGAAATCAATTGCATTTTTGAACTCACTGAATTTATTTTAATTAAAAGCCTTTCATCGTCTTCTAGTTTCAGCGAGATTTTAACAGCGTGGTTTTTCTCACCATACCTGTTTCTGCGGCCTCGACTGAAAGATCTTTTTCCAAATTAAAGCTTGTCAAAAATTATTTAAAAAATATTATGGGCGAAAAACGGTTATCAGCTTTGGCAATTATTTCAATAGAAAATGAAGTAGCCCGTACAATAGACATTGGTAATATTGTGTTAACTTTCGCCCATGCTAAAGCAAGAAAAAAAGAATTTTAACTTGTTCATGTTCCTATTTACATTTTTTATTTTAATTTGGTTAGTTTTGTTGTTGTGTTTTGTTTTGTTTTTATTTTTTTATTTATTTGATATTTTATATGTTTTGGGTTACATATTCTGTGTTGCAGTAATAAATAATACTATATAAAAATTAATTTGATAATGTTATTTCTAACCTAAAATATGAGTGCATATTATTCAGATTAGTATATAAGTATTGAAATATGTAGGTGTAATAGGGGCCCGGTAAAATTTTTGCACACAGGCCCGTGAGTCTGTTGTTACGCCACTAATTGCTAGCAACAGGTTGCAATATATTTTTTTTATTTGTACTACTATTTAAGCAACTTTAAGAACTGAATTAATATTTATTAAATAAACAACAACAAAAACAGAACGTCAAAAACATCTATTTAACACCTTACATTATTGTTTGCTTCTTCGCTTTTTCTTCTTATTTTTTTTCTTAAGGGAGTATTCGTTTCTCTCATTGTCCGATAGTAATTTATCCACGGTCCGCTTCTTAGTTTTGTCATATATAAGATGAGAATCGTTTTCATCTGACAAATCTGAAACGACGAAAACATTTCACATAGAATATCTTTTTCATATAGAAAAATAAGATGTTATTTTATATTCCGAAAAAACATGTTATTTTATATTCCGAAAAGAATGCATTTTCTTTAGGAAGCGATTTTGGAATATTAATTTTATATCTACATTACACAATATAATATACCTAATATATATTTCATACCAATTAAACTTTTAGTTACGTAATCGAAGGCGACGCGACGACGCGATTTTTAAATTCATTGTTGCCAACCATGGAGATATTCGACGCCGTGCTGACTAACTGGAATTTAAATTTCGCGCTGGGGATTCAGGTGGTAGCTCTGCTGTAAAAAATGTCAAGTTGCCTTTATTTATTTATTTCCTGACATTGTCATTTGTTTTATATTACACTTTAGTTGTATTGAGTTTTTGGTTTAAATAAATAGTGTTGTGATACTTTAAGCTTGAAAATATTTACTAGCAGATCTCGCAGTCGAACATTGTTCTTTTTAGAACCTCTTTTAGTGCGAAGTGTACCAGATAGCTTAATAGCCGTAATAACTCATCGCAACTTTATTAGAATATTTTGAATGGCCCTTTATGACCCTTAAGTGTTGTTAATAAGGTGAGTTTTATTGATGTAAATAATAACTGTTTATATACCGGGTGCGTATCAAAAGTGGCTCACCCCTATAACTTTTTTTATTTTTCCAGATAAAACAACGAGATTTGGTATGTTCGTATATGACATAAATTAGGATTGATTGACATATTCAGTTGTTTTCGGATGACTGCAACTTTCGATTTTTAAATGGCACCTTCGGTTTTTTTACTTTATTCGATAGAAAATGACACTCTGAATAGAATGACATATCATATGTCAACTTTTGACATTTTCGCATATGGTTTATTTGAAATTGTAACCTGCGGTTCATAACGACAATTTGACTCGAAATACCAAGTGTGTGGTATCAAATTATTCGTAAAAAAATGTTTTTTCCAAATATGCTAACGAGCCACCCTCGTTCCATTTGAAAAAATTGAGATATGATTAAAAATACGATTTGAGCATCTTTTAACCGGCCACGACAAGACACTAAAAACATTAGACGATCAAATCTATTTTTCTAAGGCTCCTTGACTAAAAATTAGTGTTTTTAACACAGCCATGCCACTCTAAGTTGGAATTTAAAATACAATTTATTTTTGATGGAATATGTCAAAAGTTGACATATGATATGTCATTCGATTCAGAGTGTCATTTTCTATCGAATAAAGTAAAAAAATACCGAGGGTGCCATTTAAAAATCAAAAGATGTAGTCATTTCCGGTGAAACAGGAAGTGACCAAAAACAATTGAATATGTCAATCAATCCTAATTTATGTAATATACTAACATACCAAATCTCGGTCTTTTATATGAAAAAATAAAAAAGATATAGGGGGTGAGCCACTTTTGAGACGAATCCGGTATTTATAATTAATTTATTTTTGTTTCCTAAAGTATTTTAATTAAAAGAAAATATATAAAAGTGGGCAACGCTGTGCCGGTCAAGCTTAATCACGTGACTAAAAGTTTATTTATTATGAACTGTAGAAGAACATCTGAAAGAGGACAACTGAAACCTTTTCATAGCGGGTTGCTGTTAAAAAATAACAACGGTTTACAACCATTGGCATAGTTCAAAGAATATTATAATATATTTAAAATATGCAAGTAATACTGTAAACTCTTCACAGCTTAGAGAATACGAGTATTCTGTAAAATATGCTCTTCTTGGCCAACTCCATCAGGGATTAACTGTAGATCACTCTTCTCAGAATAATCTACTATAACCATTTCTGTAATGGAAAATAATTTTAGTCTATAATTTTCTGTTTGTGAATATCACTGCGTTTGTAAGTTCAAAATATTGATAATTAAATTTTTTTTTAATTTGTTACGTTTTTACTGGGTTGCGAGTGGATAATTTAAAGTCTTATTTAACACCCACCAATTTTATTCCACCTCCGAGGAATCAGTTGGTTAGGTTTGGTCAGCTATTATTCCTGCCCAATTGCACATGGGCATGGGCCATCGCTATTTATCGTGAAAGAGTTCAGAATATTTTAGATGCCTAGGGAAGATCGCTTAGTTCGAGAATTAGCTTTTCGATTCGTTCGATCGTCTGAATCAGCGGTTAGTTGTCTCCGCATCGGTGCGAATCTAATAGGTCATATTAGAGTGGGGTTGGTTTCGCAACAATATATTCTGAATGTTAAGTGAAGTTCGTTCAAAAATCCCATCTAGCAAAATTTCGGGGAATCAACATGGCCACAACTTCAAGTTGACAATTCTTATAGGAAATTATATTACTATTAACATTTTTGTACCGTAATATAGGCCAATCAAATAAGATTTATAGAGAGGTCGTTTGGAAAAAAATGTTGGAAAGCTAATTATGGATCTGAGTGTTTCATTTGATATGAAAGAAAAGTTTACTAGGTTTGCACGGTTGCTCGTCCGTCGCTTCAGACTCACGAGGCTCAAAGGATGGTAAAATTCTTCGGCTATTGTTCCGAAAGGTTGCGTTCTAACGAATATTTCAGTATTACCAAAGAATATCTTTATTACGTAAATTAAAAAGAATTAAATTCTTCTCTGTGAGAATTAAATTATCTGGATTCTCTCTGGATACATTAATTCAATTCAGTTACGTAGTATGGCTAAAATCGAAAGTTGAAGAATGGTTATATTTACCCACTTTTGCTGGAAAATGCATTAAAGTGACATCATCCGCCGTCAGTCGTCCGTCACATGAAAAATATTATTCTAAAGAAAAAAAAAATACAACGAAAGTTATAGACATAGATAAAGGAAACAAGTTTAGATTGGAAAGTGCCCATACGGACAATGTAAATACTATTTGGCGCTATTCTTACAACGGTCGCTCTCCAAAGCTTTTGATAATTTCGGAGCGGTTCGGCATTTTCCGGAATTATGTCGCCATATATTATTTTACACAATATTTTTTTTCATGATTATCACGGGTTTGAGTAAATAAAATTTAAATTAAACTCGCAAGATACCAATAATTACTTTGAAAATGAACGCTTTAAACACTTTTCGATATTTTTTCAATGAGGGCAGTTTAAATTTTGCAATATTTTATAATTTTTGAAGATTATGACTTTGACAAGAGAAAGACTGGTGGCTTGACGACGACGTTTCTAGGGAAGTAGTATCTGCCACAGGTCCGATGGCTTCTCGCCGCTTCCGCCACCCAGATTACTTCCAAGACAAATATTTATGATAAAACACGTTCTTGTAATTGCTGTAACGTTTTTGCAACTAAGTGCAGGTCATCAGCGTATTGAAGTTCTATGATGAATTTTGTACGTGTTTTTGCCCTGAGTCTTTTTATGTTGAACAGGCCGTCGGCGTCATCGTATCTGTATCTAATGCCCAATCCTATCTCCTGCAGTTCTTGTCCACTATAATGGAGAGCGCTGCCATGAATATGTTGAATAAGAGAGGAGCTAAGACACATCCCTGCCTAACTCCTGTATTTGTTGGCACCATGACACTCTTGACTTGTTATGGAGACTTTTACGCACTGTAAGAAATTTGTTGGGTACTCCGAACTTTTTTATAATTGCCCAAAGTGCATTTCTGTTCACAGAGTCGAAGGTTTTTGTTAGGTCAATGAATGCAACATAAAAGGTTAGACTGCTGCTCTTTTACTTTTTCTTGTAGTTGGCGGATAGAAAATATGGAATCGACGGTGCCGCGGTTGGTGCGAAAACCCGTTTGCGATTCTGGGAGGATTTCTTTTATATGTGGGTGCAGGCGGTTTGACATAATTTTTGCAAGATTTTTTCCTCCGATAGCCAGTAGTGAAATTCTCCGATAGTTTCCGCAGCCTGATGCACTTCCTTTGTTCTTAAATATATTCAATATATTCGCATTGGAAATGTCCTGAGGTTGTAGTTACCTCAGCTTCAATTACCTCAGCTTTCCCATATGACATCGAAGAGAGCCTTAAGATAACCAATAAGTTCTTTACTTGCACACGTATAGATTTTCGCCGGAATCGCGTCACAGCCAGCTGATTTGTTGTTTTTAAGTTGTTTTGTGGAGGCCCAAAAGAATAAATATTATAAGTAGGATAACAGAAATAAAAGGGATTAACATAGTAGTTCATTTAATTTGTGCGAACTTATGTGTTAGATACTTCTTTGTTTGATTTTGACTTTGTTTAGTTACTACCTTTTTGTAAGTTTTGTGTTATTAATGGTTTTGAATCGCTGATAATTTGTAATCAAACCATTCAGACAAAATGGTACTATTTTGAAAGCGGCTTTTGAACATATCAGAAAGTATGCACTACTTAAATGTGTTATTATGAAATTAACTTGTGGACCAAAAATACCATATTTCTTTTAAATTTAATTGACAGCATTCGTCCTTCGGCCTACGCAGTATTAGATCATCAAAGATATAATGTTGCAAAATTTTAGCAATTTAACTTAACTTACTTAATCCGTTAGAGTCCATATAAGACATTTTTGAAGTAGACATTGCCTGAGCTTCGACTTCCTCTGGATCTATAGTATCCCATTTGGAAAAAACAAAATATTCCTTTGGAATCTGGAAATATTAGTATAACTTTATATTTTGCTTTAATCAAAACGATAAGCCATCAAATTAGCAATATAATATAAAATTTCTATCGAGAGTATAGCAGCAGGTAAAATCTGCTAAAGCTAACCAGTCTGCTAAAGCTAACCAGTCTGCAAGGAATCAAAGCCACCACTTAAAATAAAAGTATCCTTTCTAATATTTCAGAGAATTATTTGATTTGTTACAACTTCAAAATTCCGCTATATTGAATTTGGGATGAAACCGCCATTTTGAAAAACATTACCATGCATCTTGTAATGAATATTGTAAAAAAGAGAATTTTAACCTCTCGTAAAATATGTAAAAAATATACAGGGTGTCGTTTAAAATTCTTCGCTTGGTGCCATTTCCGGTTAAACATGAAGATATATTTAACTGTTTTGTAATGCAAAAGTTGAGTCTTCAAAACCTATAAATTGTAGCAAAGCTAAAAATATTATACAATATAAAGAATGAAATAACGGTCCGAGCAATGATATCGTTGTTACTCTGTATAACTCACCGCGTTAGTTTGTTTCGCTTTTAAGGCAGCAGGGGTCATACAATTTTCTGCTTTATTAACTTTCAAAGAGCGTTTCAGTAACGCAGCCCCATCCAGTGGTTCGTCGCTGCTAGAATTACCCCCTTCATCGGATACTACAGGAAAACTCTTCTTGAAATATGTTTCTGTCTAAAATGTTATCAAATATGGGTTTAATTTAATAGGTATAGTTATACTGGATATAGGTAGTATATCATAATGTAGCAAGTTGTACCCATCGAGAAAGAAAAAAATAGTAGCTTATATTAATATTAATAATTATAATATATCAATAATTAAATATACGGGGTGGCCTATCGAATACAACCCATTTACGGCTTGGTATGTAGAAGTTAAAAAAATCGGACCAGTATACTTTTGTTTTCAGGACATTTCCTAATATTGATTCCGTCACTGTAACTTCAACCTCCTAACAACCTACAGCCCTTATTTTTTGAAATAGGAAGAGGTATGTTGTGATACATCTTTTTAAAAGGCCTTAAATCCTTTCTAAAGCTTTCTAGAGCTTGCTTTTAAAAATGTTGAAATGTTCCGCCATTCACCTGCCTAGAATGTAGAATGTTTAGAAGGGGGTTAATCACCGCGATCTTATAGTTCTATTGTCTGTTCCCCTTTCTTGAGTTATAATGAGTTATAACTCATTATACAGTCTCAGGGCTTTGACAAAAGGCAGTATCTGGGACGCCTCCACAGAGGCCAGCTCTCCATCTTCGATATCAGCCGTACAAAATGTATGGCACGAACGGTTGTTGTCTCGGCGCACTCAGTGATAAGGTGTCCTGTGTTCCCCATTTTCTCCGCAGAACCTGCATTCGACGTTATTTCTCAGCTTCAATCTACTGAGGTGTTTGTTGAGGAGACAGTGTCCTGTTAGAAACCCCGTTACAATCCGAAGATTGTTCTTACTTAAATCAAGGACAATCTTTGATTTTTCTCGGTCGTAAGTTCTGAGGAACTTTTTCGAGTGTCTTAAGCTTGATTTTCATGCATCCGTTGTCCGCCGATACGTTGATACGATATTAATTTTATTGGTTGAATTTAAAGACTTCGATTGGTTAGAAACGGTTAACCAATCGAATCCTTTAAATACAACCAATGAAATTAATATCGTATCAACGTATCGTCGGACAACGGATGCATGAAAATCAAGCTTTAGACCGTTGGAGGATTTCCATTCCAGGTCACGAATGGAGTCCTCCAGATTGACCCAATCAAAGCCTTTAAATTCAACCAATAAAATTAATATCGTATCATCGTATCGTCGGACAACGGATGCATGAAAATCAAGCTTTAAGCCAGAGTCTCATGCATCCGAAATCCGATGGTACGACATCCGAAATTTGAAGTTGTCCTGTGAAATAAAAAAGCCTGTCACATATATCCGAAAGATGTCTGAAAATTGCTATGGAAAATTTTGTATTTCTATGAAAACATTTCCAAAGCACCTTTTTACGTAGAATTTAATGGTTTAAGTATAATTTTTTTAAAATTAATAATTTAAGAGTTATCAACAGAAAAATTTATTTTTTACCCTCTATATTTTCAATTAATTGAAAAGAATTTAAAATTACCTTTCCAAAATTATAGCACACTTGATATTTTGTTATAATCCCCTTCGAAATACAGAATTTTTAAAAGTTTCCCACTTTTGACTAGTAGGCTTTGGACCCCTTATTGATGATATGCCCTTAATGGAACTCGAAAACATTTTTTTCCAGCAAGACGACGCACCGCCTCTGAACGCTGACGTTATCATCAAATTTTTGCAGCCAATTTCAAGAATAATTGAATAGCTAACCAAGATCCCAGAGGCCTGTCGAGGCCGCCTGACTTAGTGCCATGGATCTAATCCTATGGATATATTTGCGGAAGAATAAAGGTTCCTTATTCTTCCGTATAATCTAGACATGAATTAGAAATACTTAGCAGTTATGAGAGGGTATCTTTCACACCCACTGAGTTAATGAATTCCGCGAGAAATGTTCAAAAACTGCCCCATCTTTCAGACAGACGGGGCTGTCTGAAAGGACTGTTCTGGTTCAGTTAGTGGTGTGTTCGCTCCTTTTCTAGCTAGATCGTTTGCTTTTTCATTGCCTTCTATTTCTTCCTTCTATTTCTTGGCACCTCGAGTAGTTCACTTGCAATAATACATCAATTGTTCGTACAGAAAGTGTTCTCGGATGTTGTGATGTTGGTATTCCTTATTCCCGTAAATCTACTAAGGATTGGATGGCATAAACGTTTGATTTCAGATAGCCCCACAGAATAAATCGAGGGGAGATAAATCGGATAATTTCGCAGTCCGTTTTAAAGCATCCCTTCTTCCAATCCTCTATCAGGAAACGTGTCATCCAAAAACTGGAGTGCATGTAATGCATAATGTGGAGGAGTTTCGTCTTGCTGATCTTTTGGATTTCCTTCGTGGTAACATTGGTGTCTTTCCATAAATCAGCCACGGGTTGACAGTAGATTCCAATAAGTCTCTCCATTTAAATTTCCCGGTAAGAAAGATGGCCCAATTATGTGATCGGCGAAAATATCACTCCAACCGTTTAATTTCTGAGAATTTTGAGATGGACCTCGTTGTAAATCCTTGATTTCCTTGATTTCGTGTTGGACCGGTAACGCCAATTAATTATATCGATCAGGAGAAATGAACATTCGTCTGAGAAGCAAACGTTGAAAAGGTATTTCGGATCATTTAAGATTTGTTGGTATTTAATTTCACAAAATTGTAAACAACACAAATCGGCATTATGATAATCTATATTCAATTCTTGGATAAATTGAATTTTCTATTGTGCCATTTATAAGGTTTTAGAATTATCTGTACAGTGTAGGAATTATCTGTACAGTTTCTCAGGTACTTAATGTAGGATTCATCTAACTCGACTGAGAACAACTGATCCTGCCGATTCATTTCTCAAGATCTCAGGATTTGATCAATGATCTTCTTTATATTTGTCACTGAAACAATATTTGCCGGAATTTTAACCGAATTTTTTTGGTAATAATTAACGAAGGATTAATCTTAGAATTAGTGGTAAAATTTATAAATCCTACAGAATGAATATTGTTACTGTAATTTAACTGTAGAAATAATATTAATAATCAATTATTATTAATGATTAATTAATAAATTAACAATTAATATATATTATATATTGATAATATACAGGGTGGCGCACCTCATTCGCCTCTGTTGATTATACGAAAACAGAAAGATGTAGAAACAAAATATTTTATGGTGGGAAGACAATGTGCATAATTTAAAATTATTTTGAAATGTACAGGGTGTGTCAGAACTAAGATCCATACCAAAGTTATATTTTGTCTTATGGAACACCCGGTATTTTATTTCATTTTTGAATTCTTGGACATAAAATAAGGCATTTATTATAAAGGTTTAATATGTTTAAAAGCTTTGGTTTTTGAGATATTTAAAGATGTTTAAATATGCATGCTATAATAAAAAAGTTTGTCAACACCTTGTACATTACTTTTCAGACTTAATTCTTGTGCTGACTTTCAAGCCAGACAAATAAACTTTACTAAAAAATTTGATTGTTTCTTTAAATTTATACAGGGGTATCAAAAATTGCTGGTCTATTTTAAATATTTATTTTACATAAAAATTTCGTTATTTTAAATGCAACACTATGCATTTTTTTAAATAAGTCGAAGCAGATTAAAATGCTCTTTCGAACTATATTAGGGTTCCCTATACCTATCTGGCTCAGATTTTGAATAAAAAGCGATTTTTCAATAAAGTTGTAATCAAGATGGCTGGTGTCGCCATGGAAATTTTCTAGTGACACTTAGTAGCTATTTTCAAAATCTACATTAGTTTATGAACTTTATTTAAATTTATAACAGGTTATTTTTATTTAATTTACCTACAATAAGATTAATAAGTAAGTATTTATTATTTTATCAAGAAAAATCAAGCAGTATCTGCTGGCGGAAAGAATGGATATGTTACTAGTGATTTTATTTTGTGAGGACAATTGCTTGTGGGGTCTAAAGGGTTTATGCTCAAAGATATCCAAATAGGAATTTTCTTGACAAGCGTTCCTTTGAAAAACTGCTATTCCTATTTCGCAGAGCTGATAGTGTGCTATATCAAAAACCTGTTAGGCAGAATCATGTCGTTGGAAGTAAAGAAAATGAATTCGCCTTAATTGGTTCTTTTATAGAAAATCCAATATGTCTACAAGCCATCGTAATATAAATCAAATAACTACTTCTTTATTTTTCTTGATAAAATAATAAATACTTACTTATTAAATTACTGTAGGTAAATTAAATAAAAGTAAACTTTTATAAATTTAAATACAGTCCATAAACTATAGTTGATTTTGAAAATAGCTACTAACTGTCACTAGCAAATTGCCATGGCGACACCAGCCATCTTGATTGCCATTTTATTGAAAAATCGCTTTTTATTCAAAATCTGAACCAGATAGGTCAGTGCCTTCTATTAAAAGATCAGCCTACGGGCGAAATTTATGACGTCATGCTAGTTAGATATAACGGATTAATAAATATGTTGTAGAATACATGGAAAACATAATTATTCCTCAGATTTTTGGTTTGTATTTTAAAAATGATATAGTTTACATGAAATATACATAATATACAGTTAATAACTACAACATATATACCTATTTATAGTAATAAATACTTTGGCAAATAAACTATGAACCATACAAATGCAGCAAATGTTTTACAATGTACAAATAATGTATAGGTACATAAGATAATGGATAAAATGTAAATATATTTTAAATTTTGGGGTTTCAAAATCGATCTAATTTAACAAAAAACATTCAATATCTACTAATAGTGATGTATTATTATTTGCATTCACAAAATTTATATGTATATTTTGCAAGTATCAATATTCGAAAAATTATATTTACAAATAATACAATATTATCTAAAAAAAGGCGTCAGCGATGGCTATGAAATGAAGATCGCTGGCATTTTATATGTAAAATTATTCTAAAATATTTGATTTTCTTGGGATTTTTAGGTTCGGGAAAAACGGTGATTTAAGTTTTCATTTGGGTTTTCATTATTTTTATATGGTTTAAAAAAACGTTTAGGCTAACTATAGCCTTCATCAG